AATAGGCTTCCCTCTTTAGAATATACTGTGCCTCAGTCAAAAGTTGATGGAAAGTGATTGTGTCTACTCTGGTTTTGTTTTTGTTACAGGACTACTTGTAGGTGAGGTCATGTCTGCAGTTCTGAGTCAGGAAGGCATCGACATCCTAACCCACCTCCCTAAGGGGAGTGCAGAGGCTGAGTTGATGAGCATTGTCCCAGTATTCTATGTCTTTCATTACCTGGAAACAGGAAATTATTGGAACACTTTTTATTCTAACCCACATATGAAAAAACAAAACCTGAAGAAGAAATTAAAAGAAGGTAAAACATTTATTGCACATGTTTTACATAAAAGTTTAGAGATTTTGAAACTGGTGTTTCAATGAAACTAATATTTAAACTGTTATGGATTATGTTAAGGCTTAATTGAAAAAAAAAGTTTTAGCAAAAAATAAATAGAGTTAGCCTCTACTGTATAAATACTGTATAATTTCTGTAACATTTTGGCTTAACTTACCAAAATGCCTGGATAAGAGACAAGACACCTGCATTCCAAACTCTACAGAACACTTCCTTCCTTGAATGAGATCAGAATGTTCTACTTGATAATCCCCAGTTGAATCAATTCACATAATTCCTTTGAGAAGCTGAGTGTTGGTTGGCCACAGAGCATACACTTGCTGCCCAACACCAAAAGAAGTTTCACCATTCCCAGGGGTGGATGAAGAGCTCTTTGAGTAGAGAGAGATCAGTGAAGCTCTGTGTTTTTTTTCTGGTGCCTCTTAGGGATTGTGAGCATCATGTCCTACCAAAATGATGACTATTCTTACAGTATGTGGAAGGGTGGAAGTGCTAGCACTTGGTAAGTGGAGGTTTTGACCTGTATTTTCATATCATATGGATATCTAGAGATCTACTAATAGTTATATTATAATAGTTATAATTGACTATAGAATAACGATAATGGAAGCTCTTCCTCCAGTTGCTCAGGTTGAAAGCCTAGTTAGTCGCTCTTCCAATCCATATCTGATCTGGCAAATAGTTTTGTCTACATGTTCAAAATATACCCTGAATTTGATGACTTCTCATCAATACCCACCACATTATCTTGGTCTAAGCCACTATCATATCTCACCTGGATTATTGTGATAGCCTCCTCAGGTCTTTCTGCTTCAGCCTGTACTTATTCCTCTTCTGTCTATACTCACCACAACATCCAGAAGGAGCCTGTTAAAACATGGCATTCAAAACCCTGTATGACTTCCCATCTCACCCACGGTAAAAGCCAAACTTCTTACACTGACCTTCAGAGCTCTCCATGATCTGGCCCCACCTTACCTTCCCAACCTTTTCTCCTACTACTCGCTCACTCTTTCCCTCCACTTGAGCCCTGCTGGCCTCCTCACAGTTCTTCAAACACTCCAGGCACACTTTCTCCCCAGGACTTTTGTACTGATTGTTCCCTGTGTCTGGAATGCTTCTCCTCAGGTTATCAGCATGGCTGGCTCCCTTACTTCCCTCAGGTTTTACCAAAACTCATCTCAGTGAAGCATTGCTAGTCATTCTATCTAAAATTTCAACCCACCTTCACCCCAATACTTTTTATCTTTCTCCTCTACTTCCCTTTTTACATTGTCACTAACACTCTTACTTATCTCACTTAATGTCTGTCTATCTCCCCCACTAGAATGTAAATTCCACATAATCAGCTCCAAGTATTCCTAGTGTGTGGCATGTAGTAGCTGTTCATTAAACCTTTCATCAAGGAGGCATAGTAACTTCTACAATCCTGGTGATTTGAAGGAGACAGAATTCTAAGTTAACTAAAAATCCGTATGGCAGTCTATTTTTTTAAAAAAACAAAACTATCCTACTTTTGACAAATATTTAACAAAAAACACAGTTTGCCAGGTATTTTGTAGACTCTCCTATATGAAACACATTTAAGGAGTTTGTAACCTAGAATGACTTAATTTTAGATTATGCCCTTCAACTATTGAGATTTCTCAGCCTGCCTTATTTTCTGCAATCTTGCTTTATACAATTCCATTTTTGCTCATGATTTCTATGCTGATGACTAATCTGTCTTAAGGCCTAGCTTCTTTCCTATGCTCCAGATCCACATTTCTAGATGCCTGGGAGCCAAAGATCCTTCAAACACAATCTGTGTCAAATTCATTCTTTTCTTCCTCTGACACAGTTCTCCGTGGTTCCCTTTACTCAGTGCATAGCAATACTCTACACTTTGTCCTCTTCCGACCAAGTCAGACTTGTCAATTAGTTTATTACTTCTCCCTCTCTTTTTGGCGCTACATCTAATCAGTCACCAAGTTCCAGAGATTGTTCCTTAGAAGTATGTCTAACATCCCTTGTTATGTATGGGTGGCACATTTTAAAAGACACATAGACCCCTGGGGTATGCCAGTCATGAGATAACAACCAGGATGCAAGGGAGGGGTGGGAGTTGATGTGGACTAGAAACTGCCGCAATAGGAACTAGGAATAAATGCCTGGAGAACAGAACACACCACCCCCACCCCCACCCCCATGAGAAGGTGTGATAGCCTCCCAGTGAATAGCCAGAGCCCTTCAAGAGTTTTGGAGGATGACTGAGTAGATTTTGTCCAGTCAGAAACATAAAAACACTTAAATACTATATTAGACCCAACTCCACAAGCCCCTTGAGAGAAATATACACGTAAAAGAAAATGGCCAGCACCTGACTACCCTTATTTATTTATTTATTTGAGAACTATGGGGAAGATAAGGAGCTCTGGTGGTGAAGTGGCTCAGGCATTTGGCTGATAACCAAAAGGTCAGTGCTTGGAACCCACCAGTGCTCTGAGGCAAAAAGATGAGACAGTCTGCTTCCATAAAGATTTACAGTCTTGGAGATCCCTATAATCTATCTTATAGGGTTTCTATGAGTCAGAATTGAAAATCAAAAAAGTCCAATAAATAACGTCATACATATTAACAAAACGCAAAACTAACAACTGTGAACATTTTTCATATTAGTTCAGTTTTTTTTTAAAATTTTTTAAAGAAAGAAAACATTACAGATACAGCTCAGGTTTTCCCTTTATTTAGCCACACACCTCCAACTTAATTCTTGTTTCCCCTTGCTCAAGGGCACTCGCTACTATGAGTTTGTGCATCCTTTCAAGGTGCAGAGAAACAGGGGCTGGAGGGAGATTTTTCATTATTTACCCTTTTATGCTTTTGGATCTTTAAAAATAATCTATTTTTATTGTTGTTGTTGAAAATATGCACAGCAAAACATACACCAATTCAATCATTTCTACATGTACAGTTCCATGACGTCAATTACATCTTCAAGTTGTGCAACCATTCTTATGCTGCTTTTCCAAACTGTCCCTCTTCCGTTGACATAAACTCACTGCCCCATGCTTCCTATCTCCTCTTTTGATTTGCTGTTTCGGTTTGATCCCTTTTTAGATAGTTCCGAAAAGAGCCCAGTGCTCAAGGCACATGTTCTTTTCTAACTGAACTAAACAAACCATTCCTCAGGTTCTTGGTTTAAAGAAGACTTCAAGGGGTATTTTTGGTTTAAGTTTTAAAGATTACTGCAGGGCAATCATTTGGGGAGTTCATCCAGCCTTAGTGCTTTTGGATTTTGGAATCACATGAATGTCTTTCCTCTTGAAAAAAATAACTGAAGAATAAAATGAAAACAAAAATAAAACAAATTTTTAAAGTGAAAGGAAGAGGCAGGGGAAGCCAAGTGGCCTGGATCCCAGAGACATTTAGTGAGTCTGGAAAGTGAGCAGCTCTTGGGAAGGTGAAGTGGGTAAGAGAACAGGAGGAGAGGAGAGAAGGAGTTGTAAGAGGTCCTGTGGGGATAATGAATTGGATTCTCTCTGATATTATTTGAGGGATATTCATGGAGATTAAAAATCTGTTTTTACTAATAATAATTAAAGCTTCTTTCTGAGGTGACAAATTTCCTGTCAATGGCATCATTCAAGGAGAAGCTAGATAAACACTCTCTGGGATACTGGGGAAGGGAATCCATTTATCAGGTAGGGATGTAGATTGGATGACCTTTACAAATCTTACAATCTAAGATTTTATGATTTTACTCTTCCATGTCTTGTGTTTATTTATTTATTCAGACAATATTTATCAAATAGATACAAAGGGTCTGTGCCTTGACTCAAAAATGTTTGTTTCACCTCTCTGATCTTGAACTTTAGATTGTTGTTGTTGTTAAGTGCCGTCAAGTCGTTTCTGACTCATACCGACCCCATGCACAACAGAACGAAACACTGCCCGATCCTGCGCCAGCCCCACAATCCCTGCTATACTTGAGCCCATCATCGCAGCCACCCTGTCAATCCATCTCGTTGAAGGCCTCCCCCTCCTTCATCGACCCTCCACCCTACCAAGCATGACATCCTTCTCCAGGGA